CTGAACCAGAAGTATTTCAATGGCATCGGCAACTACCTGCGTGCCGAGATCCTCTACAGGTGAGCGGCGCCGGCCGCCCTGCGCGGGCGCGTTACGCACGCGGGGCCGTGTGTCACACGCGGGCCCTCCTAGGCTGAAGATCCCTCCCTTTGAGAAGGCTCGGACCGTGCTGGAGGCGCTGAAGCACCCACAGCAGGTGAGGAAAGGGGGTTTGCGGGTGGTTCCGCTGCCTGTTTGAGCCCTGCCTCAGCGTCCATGCAAGGGCAGGTGCTGCCTCTTTCCTCCCAGCTTCCATGGGATTTCTCAGCCTAAGTTTCCTTAGGGAAAACTGCTGCTTCCCGCCATTTTTAAGGGCTCGGTTGATTTAAGGGCTTTTCTTAAAGGCAGTAAACCTCCCATCTACTCTCTTGTCTGGCTCATTCCTCTTCCCATGGGGAAGCTGGTGCAGGAACAAGTGCTGGCTGCATCTCCAGCTTATCCTGAGCTGGGCAGTGCTCCAACATGTGTGCGGCCTGGTTGGCCTTGGGCATGGAAAGGGCAGATTTCCAGAAAAACGTGATTTCTGGGATTTGTTTGCTTGTAGCCCTGCAGGACTTAGCACTGTCCCAGGCCCCTGGAGCCTCTCGCCTTCCGTGCAGGGAGCAGGACTGAGGCGAGGAACGTTGTTAGCTGAGCTCTGGGCTCAGCAGTGCTGGAAGTGGTTCAGTTTGCTCCCAGATGCCGGCCTGGGATCAGCTGGGTGCCTGGGTCTGGTCCAGCTCCGCTTTGGAGCCTTGTTCCAGCCCAGGCTTCAGGCCACTTTCGGTTCATGTTTGGTTCCTCGCTCCAATGGGGCAGAACAGTGTCGCGGGGCCCCTGGAGAGCTCATGTCGCCATCACCTCTCCCTGTCCTGCTGCCAAGAGGTTTTATTGCCCTGAGGACCCTGTGGATGGGTCTTCAGGGGGCTTGGGGTGCACCCATGGTCAAACCCACCCTGTGAATCTGTTTCCAGCCTGGCAGCAGCAATATTCCCTTTGCTCCCGTGACTCTTGCTGCAGGGGATCTTTCTTGTCAAGCTTGTTCCTGTCATTGGCCATGAACAGCCGTGTGTGAGCAGCGTGCCCCTCTGGTGAAGCGGCAAAGGCGGGCAGCAGATCTGAACCATCTGCTGTGGGGCCTAGGGTGAGAGGGAGGAAGGGACGAGGAAAACAAGCAGCTCGTGAGCTTCAAACCTCGTGGGAGGCTGTGGCAGAGCCCACAGCTGAGTTGCTATTGGGCTACTGTGATCTCAGGGCCCTGGGTGGCTATTTTTAAGGACCCGGCAAGAAGGAAACCCAAGTGACCCGAGAACTGCTGTTGCACACTGGGTGTGAGGGGGTATTGGGCTGGGATGCAGGAGGAGAGACCCAGCTCTGGCCACCAGAACTGGTGGGTGACTTCCCTTCCCCTGTCCGCCCTGGCAGGACCCTTCCCTGACGCTGAGCAAGAAGCTGAAGCTGAAGCGGGAGAACCCAGATCTCTTGGAGCTCTGCCACACGGTGTCCATGGAGGTCGTGGAGCTGGGTGAGGCTGCAGGATGGAGGTGGGAACAGCAACATCTGGGTGGTGAGGGAGACCTGGGCACTCACCAGCCTCTCCTGTGTGCCCAGCAGCAGCAGCCTTGGAGCAGGGGGCCCCAACATCATAGTTGGGACAGAAGACACATTCCTGATGCTCCCGCTTGGCTCTGGCTGGAGAGGTTCTGCTCCATCTCTAATCTTTGGTGACATTTCACATCTCCCCTTTTCTAGGAGGAAAGGGTTATGACCCCGAGCACTCAGAGGATACCACGGCTTTCAGGAACTGGCTGCAGTGTTACTCCGTGCCTGGCATGAACTGTCTGCGTGACAGCAAGGGCAGGACCATCTGGTTCCAGGTAAGAGCCCAAGGTTGCTGCCTGGAGCCCTCCCTCTCCCAAAGCCTGGTGCAGGTGGGGCTGCAGGGACCCTCCATGCCACAGCTGACTCCCCCAGGCATGAGCTTCCCTCTGGAGCAGGAGTGGGGGACTCAGCTGATGGAGGTTGTTCTGGTAGCGCTGTTCCTTCTTTGTGAGCCCCATCCCCAAAGCGAGAGGGTGTTGGTGCCTTGGAGCAGCGGGGCTGTTTTCCTAAGGGCAGCTTGGATATGGGGTGGAGAAGGGGCACAGAGGGGAGCAGCAGTCTGGCTGAGAGCACCTGCAGGGCAGCTCTCGTGGCAGTGGTGCTCATTCCTGCATGTTGATCGCGTCCCAGTCAATGCTCTGTCGCCTTCCTTGCAGGGAGAGCCTGGTCCCATGGCTCCCAAAGGTGAGTGTCCCCCCATCCTGGAGGGACCTGTCCTTGCTGCGGGAGGATGGGGAGGGAGAAACCCTGTGCTTGCCATGTGGGGGACCAAAGCAGCTCAGCGGAGCAGCGTGCCAGAACCTCCCGAGGTCCCTGTGGCAACGTGGTGGCTCTGGGCCGTGGAGCTCTTGCTCGGGCTGCTGATGGGGAATGTGGCAAGCTCTGTGTCCTGGGGGAGTCTGTTGGGAGGGGAAGGAAGCCCCTTGAACCGTGCCACATGCTGGCTGAGTCCACACATCATCCTGGGTGATGTCCCCGAAAGGCCACCTCCTCCAGGCTCTGTTTCCTGAGGTGGTGGCTCTCGGAGGAGAGCGAGCAGGGCTGCGCCCTGTCCTCCTGGCCCGCCTAACCTGGTCGTGTCCCCTCTTGCAGGAGGGAAGACCCGCAAGAAGCGCGCGCAGCCGAAGGCAGAGCCTGACATTGTGACCCCTGAGGTACAAGGTTCTTTTTATGAGGATACCTGCATCTGCTCCTGGATCCGTGTGTTCCTGCTCATACAGGTCCTGCTCAGACAGGTCCTGTTTTTATTGGAGTCATCTTCCTCAGCAGTTTCTGTGAGCCACTAGTCTAAGGGATGCATGAACATCCATGCTCCCTTCTCTTGCTGTTAAAACCTGAGCCATCATGTCACCACAAAGCTCCTGGAGCTCTCCTGCTGTGCCTGTCTTGTCCGAGCAGGAAAGCAGCCTTTCCTGGAGCAGTTGGGTGCTGCCCTGCATGAGGCCTCACTCGAACACAAGGCTGTAGCTAAGCTCCCTGACTTCCACCCAGGTCACCACACGCGCCTCAAGACGGCTTCCTAGGGGAAGGGGGAGCCCCCTGAAACCAAGCAAAGAGGAGGAGAAGGTGGTGGCTGATGATCCAGGGCAGGGACGTGGCCGCAGGAGGAGAAAAGCTGCTGCTGCTGCTGCTCCAGCTCCTGCTGAGCCCGAAGCGCCAGTGAGAGCGAAAAGAGGCCGGGCAGCTGCACGGCGGGGCACAGGTGAGGATCCTGCCCCCGTGGATTTCAGACCACCTTGAGTGGGCAGCGTGGGAGCCCCTGTTTGTGCCCTTGAGGGGATGGCAAGGGGCAGGAGTGGTGCTGGGCACAGGAAGAGGCTTCCTGGGGCAGAACCAGGCGCTCCTATCCCGTGTCGCCCTGCAGGCACAGCCCCTGCCGTGTGATGTGACAGCCCTGCAGAGCCACGCGTGCTGCTGCCACCCCTGCTGCAGTGGCAGGGGCAGACGTGCCAGCCTGGCTACCAGGTGATGCTTCCAGACCTCCCTCACCCTCCAGCCTGTTTTCCAAAGCCTGTTGCAGTCCGTCGCAGCATGGCAGCCAGCGTGGGGGGAGCTGCCCAGTCCTGCCTTTTTAAACTTTTCTAAAAGCTTTGGTTTTCTGCCTTTGGCTACTGCTCGTGTGACAGCGTGGGTTTTTAGGTCAATTCCTTGGTGGGACCACAGCTCTTCCAGCAAAGGCAGCCACTCCAGGCTGGCCTGGTGCAGGAAGCTACAGCCCTGCAGGCTTGGGTGGAGCAGGGAGCAAGGGCCATGGACTGCTTTGGACTGTGCCTCGCTCCCTTCCTTTCTGCCTTTCCTGGCTGAGAGCTGGCATCACAGTGAAGGCCCCAACTGCTTTTTTAGCTGACTAATAAAGAAGTATTTTGTAGAGAAATGGCCCTGTGTGCATTTTTGTGCCCAATGAAACCCCCACTGCCTCCCCCCGTCTTCCCTTGTGAGCTGGGGCAGTCTCCCCTTCCCCCTGCAAACCCAACAGCAGAGCCTTGGACTGTGGCCACTGAGTGAACAGCAGCTGCGATCACTGCAGGCATCTGCAAATAAGGTAAGAAAACCGACTCGATGGTGTTTGTGTAAGGCTCTTGTTTATTTATGTCTCATCTGTAAGACCAGTGTAAGAGGCAGGAAATTCGTGGGGGCAGAAGGCAGGAGGTGAAGGAGGCTGGTGTGACTTTGCAGTTCTGTTCTGCAGCTCTCCTTCTGCAGCTTGTTGCTGCTTGGGGCTCAGGCTGGTCTTGGCCTGCAGACCAGGGCACTAACAACATGGAGCAGAAAGGAGCAGCTCTACCCTGTTTGCATGATCTGCAGGGGCAGTTTTATTGCTTTTCTGCTGTTCCCAAAAACGTGGCTGTTCTCAGCTTTTGTCAACTGCTGCACTCTGATGGCCAGAGGGAAGAGCAAGAGGGCAACTGCCCTTCTCTGGAACCGCTGCCCCCGTGCACGTCTTGGACTGGGCTGCAGTGAGTGAAAATACCTCATTCAGTAGGGACAGAAGAGATGGCACCGCCACCAGGTCAACTGTGAGATAAGCCGTGGCCGGGAGGCCTCGGGCTGAAATCTGAGCTTGCAGGATGAACTCAGGTTGCAGCGTCACTGCCTCAGGACCAAGAGGACAGAGAGCACTTGGAAGGGTGAGAAGGAAAGCCTCAGGCCCCGCTGCTCCAAGGGCAGGCAGCTCCCCTCAGCCGGCCGCTCCAGGAGGTCGCAGCTAGGGAAGGAAGCAGTTGGTGACATTAAAGCAACAGCTCCCCCGGGTGCCCGTTCCCCCAGCGCGCACTTACAGCATCGCCTCTCGAACGGGGAGCGAGGTCTGGAGCCAGGCCACGGCCGTGCTGCCGTGCGCCTCGTACAGTCGCACCACCACCGCTTCCGCTCTGTCCTCAGCCTTCAGGGATGGAGCAGAAGGACGTTTGTGCAAAAAGACAGGAACCTCAACCCAAGCGACTGTGGCTGAGCTGCTGTGAGCGAGCGTGTGTCCTAGACCCCCCGCTTCAGCCTCCCTCTTCTGCCCTGGGAACTTACCTGCTTGACAGTCTCCAGCACGACTGCAGGCGAGCTCACGGAAAAGGCGCTCCAGGCCGAGCACGGGGCAGAGCCAGCTGGGACCACGTGAAGAGGGAAATTCAGGTTGTAGGCGCACTGGATCACACCTGCATCCTGGAAGGAACCTGCAACGTGAGAATGATTAGCCAGCCTCTGGCCAGAGCTGCCCCCAGATGCTGCTCCCTGCGCTCGCCCGGAGCCGCTGAGACCTCCTCTGCCCCGTGTTTGTTGGATGGGGCTGCACCCTGCCAGGACTCACCCTCGTGGGGCATCACAGCGTAGGTGAACTGGTGCTGTGCAATGTCTGCCGTGGCATCAGGGGACTTGGGTGCTCTCAGCCTAAGGTGAGAGGCGGGTGAGATCGGTGTCCTTGGACTTGCCTTTATCCCTCCGTCACCCAGTCTGGTGTCAGGCGAGCACTGTGACAAGTCGGCTGTCTCCCTCCTCTGCCTCAAGACTGGGCCCTCCTCGGACACCAACGTGCCTCTGGCTGCGGGCAGCAGGAAACAGACCCTGGACTAGATGCCCTACATGCTAAAAATGACTTTTGAAGGGTGGTCTCCTATGAAACTGTAGCTGATGAACTCAAACTGGAATATGTGGTGATATTCTCAGCTTTGTGGGTATCTATAACATTGCAATTCCTTCCCTTTCCTTAGGTCTTCCCTCCTGGTGTGTATTTTGCCCAGCAACAGAGAAATTATATGGTTCAAATGTGGCTCTGATTTCCTGAATGATCTAAGCATAATTGATGGGGCTTATCTCAATCAATTTTAATTAAGTTAGCCAGAAGTTCTTGAGAGACAAGCAGCCAGCTTGCCTAATGCTAGATTAGTTCCTTATTAACTGTGATCATGTAGGGGAAGGCACTGCCTCAACTTCAAAGAGACACTCGAGAGACCAAAGCCCTCACCCCAGCCGTACTCACAGCGAGAGGCTGAGGACGTTCCTGTGGGCCGATGCCCCGTATTTGCTGTCGTTGAGCAATGCGACGCCGAAGCCGTGCTCAGAGAGATCCATCCACTTTTGAGCCCACACCTGCAAGAGGAACCAAAGGAAGTTACTTGCCACATAAAGGTACTGCCTGAGGATTCAAGGTACCTGTCTGGGAATGACAGCAGCTCCACCATACAGGCGTTGGCTGTCCCATTGTTGGAGGAAAAAGAGCGGCCCCAGTGTGTGACCAGGGCACGTGGGACAGGAGGACGAGCCTGGCCCTTCCCTCTCACCTCGAACCGGGCCCAGTCCCACGATGTGTTCCAGTGAGTTGGCCGCTGCAGGTGCCCGAACTGGATCTCGTAGGTAGCATTTGTGCTCCGCACCTGCACGGGGAACTCCACCTTCAGGAACTTGTGAGCCTCCTTCCACTCAACCTACATGTGGCAGCACAAGAGCACCATCACTGAGGGCTGTCAGGCAGAGGCTGCGCTCCTGTTATTCCCACCCAGCCTGCACCACGTGCAGTACAGCAGCACCCAAGTCCCACCTAGCTGCACTGATGGGTCTCTCCTCTGCTCAGCTATCTCAGGGCCAAGAGGATACAGCTACTCATCCACTAGCCAGAAGCCTGGCACCTTTCTTGGAGCACATCCCAGCTGCAGGATCCCCATCCTTGCACTGGCTTTTCCGGACATGGAGGAGGTCAGGCAGTGGGCAACATGCCAGGAGGGGGATGTAGGTCACAAGCAGCATTCCTTCCTTCCTTCCTTCCTGCCCAGGGCCCTTCCTGCGTAGCACAGAGGTCTGTATTGCACAGTGACAAGCCAAACCTGGGTCAGGAACCGCAGGTATGGGCTCATGGCATCCAGGATGATCTCCTGTGTTAAGGTACTCCTTTCCCCAATCCGCAGACAGAAGCTGGCGCTTCCTCGCAGCCCACCACGCTGGGTGATTTCCAGAGGCTTTAGCAGAGATGTGACCGGTTTCCTAGAGAAAGAGAATAGTAGCAGAGCTGGTCTACAAGCCTGGTAGCTCTCGAGTTCCCAAACCCTGATCCAGCCCCACAGAGAGCAGGCATTGCTCCTGCTATCTATGAGGGCTATGCAAGGTTTTGTTAGGGCTGGGCTTGACGGAGAAGGAATCAAGAACCCCAAAGATAAGATGAGATCTGAGCACTACCCGCACTGCTCCTCTACCTGGTTTCCAGATGATAATCCATCACATCCCAAGCATCCCAGTACAAGGGAATATCATCAAAGAGTGCAAACTGGTTGGCAGGGCATCCATCCGGGACTGACTCTCTGGAACAAAGTGGAACACAGGAACAGTCACTTAATAGTTGCTTCACGAGCAGCTTCACAAGAACAAGTTGAGAAGGTTGGAAGCAGAAGGGAGGAAGTTCTGGTTGAGCCCCCAGCACCTCGGGGGAGCCTTGGTCCCAGAAGCTGGGAGCAAGACCTACCTGTCGGAGTGTACCAGCCGAAGCGAGGTCAGGCGTCCCATCGTGTCCAGGCACGCTGCAAGCACCCCGTTCTCCATGATAACGGAGCCATCCTCCTGGGCAGAGAGGGCAGGAGGACAGTTCACAGATCTAAACCTGCAGGAGCTGTACCCCTTTTGCAAAGAGAGGATGCTGGCTTGCTGTGTGCCAGCTTCACTAGCCCCCTGCAAGGTGCTTGCTGTGGGGTCCACGGGCCGTGCTTACCCGTTTCGTCACCGACACAAGCTGAGGGGGCAGCACGGGCTCCCTGGCTATAGCATAGCCCATGCTGGGAGCTGTCACCAGAGCTGGAAAGGAAAGAGGATCTGTTTCACCATCTCTCAGATCCATCCCTATCTCACACTGTGCTACCCCTGTTCTTAATCAGATACCTCCTCCACTTCTATAGCCATAGTTTTGGGACAAAGTAAGTGGAATCAGCTCAAAGGAGCAATTTGTCTAAGCACTGAATCCTCTCCATACCAGGGAGAGGCAGAAGATACCATTGCTCTCCATCTTCTGGCACAGGAGTAACCCCAAATTAAGCATACCTAAAATCTCTGCTCCAGTTGGCCCAATCCTGGAGATGACTTCGGTCCTGTCCCAGGGCAATGTGTTCAACACGAGGGTGCTCTCAGCGCTCTCCAAGTTGGACCTGTTGGACCTCAGCAGTTCCCCACATAAGGACTCTACAGCTTCTCCCTGGAGCTGAACACCAGCCTTGCAGATCTCTGGGAAAAAAAAAAAAAAAAAAAGGCCCAGGTTGGACCCAGCCAGGCTCTTTCACATGTCTGAGAGTTTCTGGCACTTCCATGAACACATTTTATTATAAAATTATTTATTGTTGCTAATATTATCTACTAGGTATAGTAGATAACTATAACCTTTTTATTACAAGATTACAATGAGCTACTGCAGCTCAGTGGAAAAATTGTTAAGCTGTAATAAACTGAGCCATCGTAACTGCCTGGGGGCATCTCCCTCCTTTGCTAGGATCCATCTGGACATGCAAAGGAGCAAGCAGAAACGTAAATAATACAGGATTTTATTTAATTTTTCAGCTCATTATTCGTTGGTTGAGTTAATACTGCTTCTGCCACATGCCTGCACATGCTGTGCTGTAGATGTGCCCTCCCTAGTGCCTGGCATTCCAGAGGCAGGGATGAAACCTCTGCGCCCCTCAAGGCAGGGAGTGTTATCCAGGACCCTGTGTGCTCAGATGGACAAGCCCCAAATTCCCTGCCCACCTGTGTAGTAGCGGAGGGCATCCTCAACCACGAGCTGGATACAGCTGCCTGGCAGCACATCATGGAACTGGTTAAGGAGCAACAACCTAAAACAAAGACCAGAGCCATGTGAGGAAGCAGTGGAGAAGAACAGATGTTTTCTAACATACCTGTTTGCAAAATGAACAGTTAACTGTTTCTTATGCCCTGTTTGCAAATAATTGAGAATTTTTTTTCCACAGCACTGTTTAAATCCCTTTATGTTAGAGCCTTTTAATTACCATCTAGTAAACCACAAATGTGGGGAGTAAGAAAGAGCTGCTTTCTCCTCCGCCTAGGGCTACTGAATATGGCGTAGCACAAGTTCAGGCAAGTCAAACCGCCTAGGAACAAGCGTAGTTTGCAAAATAAGTTTCCCACTACCAGATGAGAGGTTTTGGAGCTGTCTTCCAATGGAAGAATCAAGCAAAGTCCTTAAACACTTTCCAGTTGGACCCTTGATCAGTTTACAGAAGCGGTTGAGTACCTACAGCAGGGCAATATGGGCTCTGCAAAGGTGCTAAATGCTAACTGTGAGTCAGGTTACTGCTTGCCCTGGGTCTGTCCGACTACTCCAGGCACTTCACGTGCTGAGAGCAGGGATTTCTAACTGGGCTCAGGCAGGTACAAGCAGTAACGCAACAACTGCCAGTTTGCCTGTGCCCCCATGAGGTCCCTAGCGGTCACATGCGCCTGTACTTTTATAATCCTGGGCAGGGATTGCACTATATCCTCCCCTATGTCCTCACCTCCAGAGCCGCTGCAGCTCGACGGCTGGATACTGGAAATTGCCTCCCCGAGCCAGAGCCAAAGCGCTGAGAACTTCGGCGTCGTGGAGAATGCGCTCGCACTCCCGGTTCCCCTTCTTTATCTGGGGCCACAGCACGGAGAGAAGGAAGGTGCTTAGGAAGCGGGTAGCTGGGAATAGATCACTCATCCCAGAGTGATCTTAATAAGTCTTAGCCTTACTAAAGACTAAGAATGGATCTGCCTTCTGGAGTCCTGACTACCTAGAGGCCCTCACTGCTGAGAACAAAAAGGCACTGCCCAAAGCCTGAAGCCACCCGAGCAGCAGCAAGGAGCCCTGGAGATGGTCCCCTCCATAGCGGTGAAGGAGGCTGCTGTCCCCCTGCCTGGCGCACACTCACCTGGGCCTGGGTGGTGTAGGTGCCGTTGTGCAGCTCCAAGAAGAGCTCTCCCACCCAGGTGCACAGCTGGGATGATTCCTTCTCCAGCGCAGAGAAGAGCTGGTCAGGAGTGGAGAACTGAACCCTGTGGAAAAGACACACACTGCGGAGCTGGGAGAGAAGCCCACAGATACCAGCAGATCCCGACCAGAAAGGTGACAGCCTCAGGATTGAAGCCTTGGAAACCCCAAACCACCCACCCTGCAGAGCTCAAAGGGGTGTGGGGGGACTCGGCTGAGTGAAGCCACAGATGCAGAACATTAGTGGGGAAAACAAAGTGGTGGTGGGGAAAAACCATTGTCCGTTGCAACACAAAAAGATGGAAACATCTGATGAGATGGCAAGGCCCAAAGGGCTTAATAAAACAAGCACAAAGGTGCCCTTTTCCACAAAGGGTATTTTTAAGCAGGTTAAATCCCCATCCGAGATATCACATGCCTGAAGCAGACTTAGTCCCAAAAGACAAACCCATGGAACACAGGTCTAGTGGTTAAGCACGAAGCTCCAGCTGCTACCTTTAGCTCATAAACCTGCCTAACTACAAACTGCAGGCAGGAAAGAAGCAAGGCCAGAGGACTGGCTTTCTCCATCTCCTGTTTCTCCTCTGTGTATCACAGACTCTCCCAACTTGCTCCCTGCCCTGCTTTGCGCACTGCTTCCTTCTGTGCTGCCAAAGCGCAGGCCCAGCTCCAAACAAGTGCTCTGTGCTGGCACAAGGAGGGAGGAAACGAGCTGTCCTCTCACCTTGGCAGCCCGTCCGTGTCACTCATTCTCTTCATCCTGTCGAGCATCTTCTGTGTGGGGCCTCCTCCTCCGTCTCCAAAGCCGAAGAGGACAGCGCTGTGGTTCACACGTCCTTTATCCTTGTTGTTCTTCACTGTTTTCAGCATCTAGATGGCGTTTGGGACAGATGAATTCCTCAGGTGCCTCCAGAGACGGCCTCCAGAGACCCACACATCAGTGCCAGATCAGTCTTCAGGGTGCAGAGTCCAGCCCTGCCCCATTCCTGCACCTGACACTGCAGGGATGAGGCACAAACACATCCCAGAGGGAAGTGGGCCGCTGTCAGCAATGCTGCTCTCCCAGGCAGCGCCCTCTCCTCGGAGCCTCAGATACGGCACCGCACTTTGCAAGTTTGGCAACCTCACTCACCTCCTCCACTCGCCCGTGCATCCCATAGGAGTCACCAGGGGGGAAATGGGCCAGGACTCGGGAGCCATCAATGCCTTCCCAGAAGAAGGTGTGATGCTGGAGAGGAGCCAAAGGGAAGCCAGGAGTTTAGTACAGCCTCTGCAGTGCCCAGCAGCTAACGCACAAGCCATTATTCCCAAAAGCTCCCAAAAGGAAATCTCTGCCGACATCTGTACCTACAGCTGTACTTTCACCCTCTGTCCTTGGTTTCCATGCTTGTCCCCACACACAGGTGTGTGTGCGGAGGGCCCATCCCAACCACATCAGTGAAAAACTTGCTCACTAGAAGCCCACTCTCCCTCGCAAGTCCCATCGAGAGCACAGCTCACCGGGAAGGGGTTCACCAGGTTCCAGCAGAGCTTCTGCGTGAGGAAGCGCCGGATGCCACAGCCACGCATCAGCTGGGGCAGCTGTGCCGAGTATCCAAACGTGTCCGGCAGCCAGAACTGGGAGCAGCAGAGGGAGAGAGTCACGGGAGTCACTCTGGCCACACACCACAGCCTGAGCACGGAGCAGGGTGCAGACTCCGAGACCCTGCTGCGAAGGGGACCCTGGAGCTGCTAGACAAACAGCAACTAAAGACCTATCAGGGACTAACAGGCAGTACAACCAAGACCTAGGAACATCAGATCTGGAAGGCAAGGCCTGGAGAAACTCCTACACACCGCGAGGGACAGGGGAAGATGACATGCAAAGGAGGCATGGTGGAAAGGAGCAGGTACCTCTGAGCAGATCCGGCCAAACTGCTGCTGGAAGAACCGCTGACCCTGGAGGAACTGCCGCACCATGGACTCCCCGCTGGGCAGGTTCCCATCCTAGGGAAAAAGCACAGGGAGTCTCTGTCTTTTCCTCCAATGCGCACAGCCAGGCAGGATGAAGGACAGGTCCTGTAAGCATCCCAGCTCCTGCCATCCTGTCAACCTGCTTTGGTAGAGCATGAGGAGCATCTGGCAGGACAGAGCTCAGCTCTGCACAAGGAAGATCCAACCCAGACAGGGGCTGCTTTCCAGCTCCTGAGAGCACCACCAACCAGGCACGGAGAAGGCCCTGCTCTGGCCAGTACTAGTTCCAGACAGAGGTGGCTCAGGAAAGGCGCGCTGACTCGGGGCCCCCACGATTCTCACCATTTCTACCCAGGTGCCTCCAACAGGAATGAACCGTCCCTTCGTGACATAGTCCTGAATTTGTGTGTAGAGCCCAGGGTACCAGCATCGCACCCACTCGAACTGCTGCGCCTGCCAGAGCACAGAAGTCAGTCTCAGCTTGCTCCCCGCCACTCCAAAGAGAAGTCCCTGAGCATCCTCAGGATGTTCCTGGTCACCCGCCTGTCATTTTGAGTCACGCTGAAGCAGCAACACGCTACAGACAGAGGGAAAATTCCTCAGACAGTTTGACAACAAGTCCCCTTCCCTCAGAGAGCTCCTTGGAGCACAGCAAGGGGTGAGCTGCACACGCAGCAGTCTTGGCTTCTCTGTTGTGTCCCTTGAGCAAAGCTCTGGTTCATCCAGTGTCCCAGCCTAGGAGCCCTGCAGGTCAAGTCCTGCTTGTGAACCTGACCGCCCCGAGCTGCGAGCACAGGGAGCCCATCGCCCCATTCCTTCTTGCTAGGAGGGAGGCCGCTCACCTGGGAGCAGACGAAGGTGAGCTCTGGATTGCGCTCCATCAGGCGGACAACCGTGACCCAGCTCCGCGCGCACTTCCGGATGGTCTCCTCATACGGCCACAGCCAGGCTGCGGAGAGAGAGACACGTGGCTGTTACTTGCCACAGGCTACCGGGGTGAGGTAGAGCCAGACTCCCTTGCGCATGGGGCTGTGCTGCCCTTCGGAGAAATGCTAGAGCCAAGTGCTCTCCTTTGACTCGAGGGCCTGATAAAAAGATAGCCTGCCCCCCGCCGCTATTGCTTGTCCTGCTGCCCTTGAGAGTGAACCCTCTCTAGGGACCTGAAACCGAGCGTTGAGATCCCGTGTGACCCATCCCTCACGCCCTCCCTTGGGCAGCGGCCGTGCGGGGAGCGCGGGGAGCGCCGTGCTGCTCTCACCGGAGTCGATGTGGCAGTGCCCCATGGCGTGGATGGTGTGCTGGCTCGCGCCGTTCTTCTGGCTGAAGATCCCCGCAGCCAAGCGCCGCGCGGCGGGGAAGGTGGCCGGGTCCGTAACATCGCACACGTTCACCATCTGGTTGGCAGCGTACAGCGCCTGAAAGCTCCTCTGGTTTTCCTCCCCGAGGTGCTGGGGGCAGAGTGGGAATAGCCTGGTGTGGAGCGCAGCACATCCTGCAGCTCCAAGCGGCACCGACACGGGAGCCACCAATCCTGGGGAAATCTGCTGCCTCCTCCTGGCATCTGCCCCTGGTACTGGGGCCAGGCGAGCACCGTGTCCCCTGCCTCGCGGACGCAACCTCCTGTCTCTGCACATTTGTCTTTTAAAGACAAGTTAGATGAACACCCATCACAACTGGCTCTGGTCAAGCAGATCCTGCCTTGGAGCAAGGAGTGCATGAAATAACAGCATCACTCTGCTCAATTTCTTTCCCACTCCAGACAAATGTCAGTTATTCTAAAGCAGCACTGAAAAAATGCCTGTTCCTCCAGGGCCTCCTGGCAGGGGGAAGATAGATCTTAACAGTGAAAGAAAGAGATGAAATTAAGATGTTGGAGATGAAGGACCAAAGGGTGAAGGAAGGGAAGCAAATGAGCACACAGACCTGGGCCATGTCCAGCAGTATCTCCAGATCCACCAGCAGTTCATAGACATCCCTGTTGAAGACAGCCAGCTCTGCCTTGCTCAGGGTGAATCTCTTGTCCGGGTCCGGAGGGGCAATCATGCTGCCCTTCCCGGCCCCAAAGAGACCATTGCAGGCCAGCTCCACGTACAGCGTCAGGCTGCCAAGAGCAAGAGGAAACTATCAAGGAGCTGATCACAGGCAAACAGCAGCAAAAGTCCATTCCTCTCCCCATGCCAGGATCAGCTACAGCTGAACTCCTGACAGATCCCTGAACACAGGATCCTTAGCAGAGCCCAGAGCACCCTGACACTGCACTAAAGAACAATATGAGACTAACACCCCAAAAGTAGGTGAGCTTGTCTCTCTGGGGGACAAAAGACACCAGCTTCACTGTGGGGCATGACCTTGGAGGGAGAAGGGAGAGCTTTCTCCACTGATAACCTGATCATGGCCCAGCTGACGGCGTTTGCCAGAGCGGGATGGTCCGAAGGTGACACGGGCTCCACACAGCTCTGAGGCAGACCCGGACATCTCAGACTCCAAGCTCTCCCATGGCAGGGGCCTCTGGCCAGGTGACCACCCACCTGTGGGGCTCTGTCTCCTTCAGGCTGCTGGTCAGGATGTAGCTGGTCTTCTCGCCTTCCTTGGTCAATCCCTAGGAGGGGAAGACAGTACATTCAACCAAAAAGATCCTCAGTTCTCTGTCAGTGTGCTCGACAGTCGCCAGATGGGCAGCACAAGACACCCTGAGGATATTCCAGGCGTGGGGACACCGCCAAAGAGAAGAGAGCAGGAAGGGACTGCAAAGGGTCACCTGGACTGATCCACTGCCCCAAGATGGGACTTGGTTTGACCTGTTCCAGTCCCAACAGGAGTCTGTTCCACTGTTCCTGACAGAGGTGGTGAGTTATGTCTCAGGCCCAATGCTTCCCTATAGGCCTGCAGAACAGGTTTGCTAACGTCGAAACCAGAGGTATTTAGCTGTTACTGGTCTACAGATCTGAAACCTAAATCCTGTGGAGGCAAGACACTCTAAAAAACAGCTTGAAATGTACAACCTCGCTTGTTTTTCTGGGTGTTACTCTGAAGAGCGCATAACAAATGGAAAGGGGTTTCCAGTGCCCCATGAAGGAAGAGTAAGTGGGATACAGCTACAGAAGGAGCTCTGCAGGTAGCGGGGTGACCGGCACAGCTGGCACACTCTGCGCTGTGCCTCCTCACCTGCACCGGCTGTGCATCTCGCCACACCATGGCCTCGCCATCGCTCTCCCAGATGAAGTGCACCTCGAGGCCTGCCCACGCCGGGGGCACGCGCAGCTCCACCTTGAACCAGCACGTCTCCCACCTGGAAGAGAGCGTGCACTGCCGAGAGCAGCACCTCGCGGGAGCCAGGCTTATCCTGCACTGGGCATCAGGGTTGTCACCTCCTGCCACCCTGCAACACTTGGGAAGGGGTTCCTGTCTAAGCAAAGCTGTTCTGAGCTTCCAGTGTGGAGTTTGGGGTACATCCACCCCAAAACATGGCTTGATCCCCGCCCCTGCTCTCTCCAACCGTAACCCAAGTGCGAGGACACCCCAAGTCAGACTCACGTGGGCCCGAAGGTGTCTCCAACTTGCACCGTCCTGAACTGCTGCCTCACGGCCTCGGCGTAGGGCACCCGCTGCGGCGTCTGGAAGCAGGAGAGGGACGCGGCCGGGCAGCGCTCCCCGAACAGCCTGCGAGGGCAGCGACCGCGTCACCCCGCGGGGCGTCTCCTAGCAACGCCGACAACCGCTAC